TAATCTTCGAGACTCGAATGAGAGGTACATTCAAAACTGTTGGTAGGGTGCGCGGTAAGGATGCAAGCCCCTTCGACGCCCATGCCGAAGCTTTCCGAGCGGGGCTGGCCATCGAAAGTGGCTAAGGATGGACCGAGCAGGCAAGGATGCAAGGGTACCCTTGGGAAGGTTGCCCATCCTTACTATCGGTTTCGACTGTGCTCGACGCAATCTACGACCTGAAGTGGGAGACGAAGCAGAAGCAGACGGCGACCAACTATGCTAGGGCAAATATCTTCGCGCTTCGCGCTCCGCGAAGCGCGATTATCTCCGCTTTCGCGCCGCCCCCCCCCTGGAACAGGATGAGGGACTCGCGCCTCGCTCTGAAATCGCCCAGACCACGAAGCGCGACTAACTTCGCCTAGTGGTGTCCCTAGCTATGTGGGGAGGACGCTGCAGGTCTTCGCGAATGCTCACCAGGAGGGTGACATACCCAGAAGAAACTCAAGGCAATGCGCTCTTGAGAGAAGCACTGCTGGAGGCCACCGACCGTGAAATGGTGTTTGCAATAACTCTGAGATCGTGGAAAGTCAGCCGCCTGTCCGCAGCGCTAAGGACGATATACCGGACTCGCCCAAAGCAAAGCCATCGAGTGCATCGAGTCGACGAGTTCGGCAGGGAAGACGAGGAGCCCGAGGCAGGAGTCCGAGGTGCAGCCGCTGCTGGCAGACAGAAGCTTCGATGACATCACAGAGGACGAGACGCTCGAGGAGAGTGAGGCGATGGACGTACTGCCGAGTGATCGAAGAACCCAAACACGTGAAAGGAAGCGAGGACGGCGATCAACACTAAGCTAAGCACGAAATGTGGAAGCCATAGCTTACCAAGAAAAACATACGATCAACAACATCAAAAAGAGGGCAAAGAGCTTCACTTGCCTGATATTGTGGCACTCTTGACGGAACTGTCCAGAGCCAAGACGAAATCCGCTGTCGTCATCAGGATCATGCCAGAGTTCGTCGGAATCACAGTGCCCAGTTCTGTGCAACCCATTTGTAGGCATGCGTGAAGGCACCCTGAGACATCATACAGGATACGCTGACCGTCTCGGTGGTGGAGAAGGTGCCAGACATGCCGAAGGAAGAGATCGAGACAAGGGAGAGTGTGAACTTCACGATCGACGAGGGCACGGGCTGCGTGGACAGCGCGTGCGCGAAGGGCATCATAGGGCATCAGACCATCTTATCGTACTGCGACCACTGGATCGAGGCGTGCGGCCTGGAATCGGACTTCGGGTACGAGACGGACAAGAAGGCGACGGTGATCCGTTTCGGCAACGACGACGCGCAGAGGTCGTCGGACAAAGTTGCGATACCTGCGGCTGGGATCCAGGCTCGTGCGCACGTGCGTGCACTTTCCAAGCGCTGGGCCAAGGACCTCGGTGGCCATTTGGACCTTGAAGAGGATGAGGTGACGTTCTCGGCCATCGGACAAGTGTTGCAGCTGAAGACGAGCGAGAACAAAAAGACGGACACTGCATCCTCCGACTGTGTTCGCCGCCGGCTGGTGCCAGTGAGAAGAAGGACCCCGAACTGGAAGAGGAGCGATGTTGAGATCCGCCAGGCGGCCGGACGCGCCGGATGGACGTTCGAGGAGGCGAAGGCGATCCTGGCCGGCGTCGAGGGGCAGCCCTGCGTGCGGAAGACTAAGAGTCCTGGGTGCGCCGACGAGCTGCGTGGACCAGAGAGGGGCGCAGGTCTCTCGAAACGGCAGTTCTTGGCGTGCAACCAGATGCGGCTTTCCCTCGCGACGCTCCGGAACGAAGGGTCCGGCACTTGTCCACCGAGGCATTGCGTCTGCACGCAGGTGTTCTTGCATGTGTTTCAGGTATGTTTTCCGCATGCTATTTTCTGCCGATCCACCGTCAGGGCGCGGCTCCTGCCTGCCTGCCTGCCTGCCTGCCAACCAGATGCTGACGGAGGCGGTGGAGGCCTATCTGTGCGAGGCGGGGATGTATCCAGATCCACCGCCTGGGAACCGACGTCCTGGTGCCCCAGCGGGCGGTGGACATGGATATACTTCGGCCCCCGGGGGCCCGAATATGTCCATATCCACCGCCTGCCGAGGCTCCGAAAACTGACCCTCCAGGCGGTTGGTGTCAACGGCTGCTTACTATCGGCGGCGATCCCAGGGGGGAATGCAGAGAGGGGGGCCTACCCGGAAGGCTCGAAAGGCCTCTGGCCTTCTAAGACGTTGTCTAAACCTTCTCCGAAAACAGAGACGGCTTCCCAGAACGCCGAAGGGCTTCTGAGAAGCCTCACCGCCTTCTGAGAAGGCCTGCCCCCTCGCACTTCCCCCCTGGGCTCACCGCCGATACTATCTACCTCTTCGGTACTACCTCTTGGCATGGCAGCTGCGGCCAGGGTCGCGAGAAGAGATCGTGGCGCACGACATGGAGGAGAACCTGCTGTCACCCGAGGCGGGCGCCAAAGCGAGGAAACAAGCGCGTCGAACGGGATGCGTGGCCATCGTGAACGAGGAAATCCCGCCAGATGCCGTGATCACCTACGACGCTGAGGTGGAGACGCTGGAGCCCGAGGTCCCCCAGAAGGAGCCAACGGGTGCTGTCGGTCAGCCGGAGGAAGCATCTGCAGGAAGGAATGAATAGATATGAGGGCTCGCGAGGATCGAGGTGGCGAAGCACGGAGGCAGTCACCGCCACGTCAGGAAGCCAGGATCTCCAGCGAAGGCACTGCGGTGGCAGCCCGAGGCGATCAGGGACGTGACAGAGACGGAGGTCTGGAGGAGGAGACGGGTCAAAATGAAACCAGCGGAAGACGAGCCGAAGCAGAAGGGGGGCTGTGTCCTGCATGACCCACAAGACGGGTGACGCGAAACAGCCAGTGCTGGCGGTGATTGCGTAACCTTAAGTCGGGCCTGTCCCCCTACAGGCCGATTGTGGGCAAAAAATAAAAAACAGTCCATATTCAGGAAATGTAAAGAAATTGCGAAAAAGTCGCCCCAAGACTGATTTTTTGGACCATTTCTGAACATTCCTCCTGTAGAGGGACAGGCCCGACTGAAGCGCAACCTGGAGGACGCAGAAAGCATCTATACACCAAGGGCGTATACACCATCCTACGGCCTAGGATGGCTCTGGCCTGGCACGGTGGTGGTGTATAGATGCCTTCGTCGGATGGAGGACCAAGAGACGGAGAGCAACGCTGTGGAGCAGCCGTGCGAAGGACGCCCAGGGGCGCACGCGCAGCCTCTGCTGCGGGAGGGCCGCAGTCGGGGGGACGGGGCTCGAGGCGGAGACACATTTTTTTCCCGGCCGAGGACCGCAGACTCCCGGCCGCCTCCCCAGATGGTCCGTCCTCCCAGATGGTCCCGCCTCCCCAGATATGACGATCCAACAACACACGCCCATACCCATAGGGGGATCGGAGAGGGCTATGGGTGCGTGTTGTCGGATGGGGGTCCCCGCTCGAACGGGAGAGTTCCACAGGGCTCAAGGCGGAGACCCATTTTTTTTTCCCGGCCGAGGACCGCAGACTCCCGTTTTAGGTCGGACCTGTCCCCCTACAGGGGGATTTTGGACGACAGATAAGAAATACTCAAAAGTATTCCGAAGATGCCCAAAAATGCTCAAAAATTAGTCCCCGGGCTATTTTTTGACCGTTTCTGAATATGCCCCCTGTAGAGGGACAGGCCCGACTCAACTCCCGTCCGCCTCCCCAGATGGTCCGTCCTCCCACATGGTCCCGCCTCCCCAGATGGTCCGCCTCCACAGATGCGAGGCAGAGGCACCGCCAGAGCTCCAGATGAAGATCGGCAGGGCGAAGCGCATGGAAAGAAGGCCCATCCACAACGGGAAGCGGGCGGTCACCGTGACGAGCCCAGGGGAGCCACGCCGAATCCGATCGACGTGTCCCGACTCGGTCCTGAGGTCGAAGCCTGTGCTAATGGAGAAGGACGATTGCGTTGTTGGAACGAGGCTCGCGACCAAGGGCGCCGGAGAACCTGAGCCGCCGAGCCCGATCGAGAAGTAGGGAACCGAACTCTATACACCGCCGCTTGTTCCAGCCCTGCACTGCAATTTGCACAGGACACCGGATCCTGGTGTAAACAGTTGTTGCTGCTTCCTCGGGGAACGGAAACAGAAAAGTATACACCACACCACCCCGACGTCGTCCCCGGCCCTCGAGAAGTCCTTAGGTGGAAAAGCAGCCCGCCACTGGTAATGTATATGCTCCAGTTTCCGAAGGCGGGCGACGCGGAGGCGCCGACGGCGCGCCAGGGCTGTGGGGCCGCGCGGCTGGCTCTACGCTGTGTGGTCTCACAGTGGCGTGCCAGGGGCGCAGGAACGCGCTGGATCTGGAAGTTCGTGGGTAAAAAAACATACACATAATCCCAGTGCGACCCGACCTATGACTTGGAGCCTCTAGGAAAACATCATCTACATCTACACCGGCAGCTACATCTACATCTACACCTGCATCTAAATCTACATCAACAGCGATACTCACATCTACATCTACATCTACACCTACATCTACATCTACATCTACATCTACATCTACATCTACATCTACATCTACATCTACACCTACACCTACACCTACATCTACATCTACATCTACATCTACATCTACATCTACATCTACATCTACATGTTCGCATTGGTTATGCTGTTGCTTTGCACTGCCTTTGGTTTTGCTCTTGCCTTTGCATTCGCCTTTGCTTTTGCTTTTGCTGTTGCTTTTGCTGTTGATTTTGCTTTGCTTTTGTTTTTGCACTGCATATCGCATGTGCCCGGCGGTGTTCCCGGACGTGGTGGCCAGGGAACTCCTGAGGTGTGGTCTCCAGGAGCTGTTTGTGGGTGCCGTCCAGCTCTAAGCCGCCGTCGAGCCGTGACTGAAGCTGTTGCTTCCTGGTAAATTTCTCAGCTGGCACGGTTTGCCCCATCTGGGTGGCGGGCAGGGTCGAGGCCTCGTACTGCAACGAGTCAGCGCAACTGATCAAGGCCTGCTTGAGCTCTTCCAGCAGGCTGTGCAGCACTGCCGGATCTTGCTCCTGGAAGAGTCGCGCGACGTTGTGCTCGCGGGTGGCCAGGATCTTGTAGACTTTGCGGTGACCGTGCTGAAAGCCACGGGCTTGGGACTCGAAAGGTTCGAGTTCCGCGATGCCGAAACCCCCGAGGCCGGGTGTGCAAATGGAAAGGAAACGGTTTTCGCGGAGGCTGTGACGGAAAATGGAAAACATGCTGCACGTGGTGCCTGCCAATGAAAGAGCCGTCGATCCCCGCCAAGTAAATGTCCGCGATGTCGTCCATGAGCTTGAAGAACTGAACCTGTGCCCGCGGGGACTCCGCAATGAATTGCTGCATGCGGTGCAACGATGGCACGTCAGGCTGTTCAGCACTGAGATCACACGTGACGTCGCCGATGACCTCTTCGCCGTTGCAAGGCCTGAGAAGAAGTGGTGCGTAATTGTCAGCGGAATTGAACGTGGCAAATACTGTCAAGGAACCAAACGCCACGTTCAAGTTATGGCCTTCATGTCGTGGGTTCCGTTTGTAGCCGCCTGTCAAAAAAACGTCTTTCGCGCTGATGAGCACCTGTCGGAAGGCAGTGGCCAGTTCTTTGGAGACGCGGTCGTCTCGTGCGAGCGCCTCGGTGTTCGCACTCCCTAAAGCCTCGTGGGCGAGGGCTTGGAGGCAACGCGCTGAAGTGGCGTTCGCAATGAGCCGCACATCTCTGTGGGAGCCTCGTCGTCGGACGGCGGCGCGCGCGCCCTTGAAGAGAGCAATGCGGCTAAGGCGAGAACCACATTTTGAAAACGACCCGCCCTCCATCAGTGAAACCGTTGCCAGCTTTTAAGCTTCACGGTCATAAATGGTGAAGAAGTCCCAAGCGAAACGCCAGGCCCGCCCTAAAAACTGGCCTCGGGGTGTGACAAGGAGAAGTTATTTACAAGGAGAAAGAATATTGGAGGAGCAGCAAGAGGACGGTGGAAGAGCGAAAAAAGGGGGAGGGAAAGAGGGATGAGGAAGGGGGAAAAAAAGAGGAGGAGGAGGACGACGACGACGACGGGAACGAGTAGGAGGAGGAGGAGGACGACGAGGAGAAGGAGGAGGCGGAGGAGGGGAGAGGAGGAAGCAAGAGGAGGGTGGAGGAGGACGAACGAGGGGGGAGGGAGGAGAAGAGAGGGGGAAGAGGGAAGAGGTGCGCGAGGAGGGGTGGGTGGAAGAGAGGTGAGGGGGGGGGGCGGGGCGATCGCTGGAGCCTGGTTGATCCCCCTCAACTCCAACCTCGGCGCGCGGGGCCCGCGCACTCCGCGCCTGCCCGTGCCCGCCTCGCCCTTCGCCCGCGTCCCCCGCGCCCCCCCTTCTTCGCAAGTCGAGCCGCGCGTTGGGGGGCCTCGACCCCGACTGCTACCGCCATCGGTGACGGCGCGAGGCTGCCCTCTCGGCAGCCGCGCCGGGGGCCGGGCGACACGGCCCTTGCAAGACGCGCCGCCGCTGGTCAGCCGCACGCCTCCGCCTGCGCGCAGAACGCCCCGGCCCTCGATTACAAGGATCCGGTGTCGGTTGCGGAACGACTGCGCGGCAACATAAGCCAACATACTTCGGGAAAAACTGTGCTCAACTCTGCTGCAATGATCCCTCCGAACCTTTGGACAATTGTGTCGGACCTGCATGGTTTCCCAAAGGACCGAATCTGACAAAAAACGTAAAGAGCCGCAAGCACGACTGAGGATCCAGGACCGAATATTTCGACGCGTTTTATCTCCACCTTCTAAAGTCTCCTTGGGCCTCCAAAAGTATTCAAAGGCTTCGGGCGCCTCTCAGCAAGACCAGCGACAACGACACAACCACACAACGACGACAACGACGACGACGATCGAAAATCAGGGCTTTGAGACGGCCGTCGTGGCGCCCCGAATATATAGTCAAAAGGCCTCTCGTGGCCACGGCCAAGATTCATTTGGAAATGCAAATCGAAAGGCAAGCCTGGGTTATATCCTCGGGGTGCTCAAATGCTACGCCTACAACATTCGGCCAATGATCCGCTCGGGTTGCTAACGCGATCTGCGGGCCCCATCGGGAGGGGGCCCCCGATTGAGACCCCCCAAAAAAAACTCACAAACGAGGCCCCCGCTCGCGACATCTTCACGACTTGCGCCCGCGGGGTGCTCAAGTGCTGCGCCTGCTACTATAGACCATCGACCCGCTCGGATTACGACTGTGAGCCGCGGGCCCCGTAAGGTGGGGGCTCTCGCCTAAGACTTCCTCACACTTCACTCACAGACGAGCCTCCCACTTGAGATTTCCTCCAGATGAGTGCGGGAATGTGTAGACAGAGGGAGGTAGAAAAAGAGAGAGAGAGAGAGAGAGAAAGAGAGAGAGAGAGAGAGAGAAACAGAGAGAAAGAGAGAGAGAGAGAGCGAGAAACAGAGAGAGAGAGAATAAACAAAACAAAACAAACAATGACTGTGCGTGGTGGATGTGCGAGAGCGGCGGTAACGGTGATGATGTTGGTGATGGCCATGTTAGTGATAGTCGATAGGACGATGGTGATGGTCATGGCCTGGTGATGAACACTCGAATGATGCATGATGAATCCGAGTGGTTGAACTTTGAAGATAATCGAGCCGACGATAATGATGACGATGACGGTCGATGATCACGGCGGGATGGTCATAGTGATGACGACGGCGGCATGCCTTTGTGGTACTGGCGATGATGCTGATATAGGTGTTCTTCTCTCGTCGGTTCCTGCGCTGGGTGCCCCGAAGAAACAAAAGCCCCACTTGGGACGTGGAGAACACATACAACGGGGAAGAAACGCACAGAAAGGGGACAACGAGCGGGAAATGATGGGTCAGGGTGGCAGCGCAGGGCGTTACCCCTTACAGAACAACGCCAGGCGCGCTGACAGAACAGCGCGCAGCGCTGATGCTGCAAGTGTCCAATGCATACTGGGCGCGAGGTAGCTGGTAAAGAAATTCAAAGTGTACAGAGGTCAGCGCCACGCGCTGCTGCGATCGAACAGGAATCGCGCGCCTTTTGTCAAGACAGCGCGGCGCGCCGCGGGAACCCCTGATTTTCTAGACGAGGTCATCGCCACCAGTCAGATGCGCACCCGCCCGAGCTATTGAAGCATCAACGATGCGAGCAAAACCACCGCTGCATATGATGGTGGGTGCCGTCCTCAGTCCTGCAGGAGCTTGGCGAGGCCGATCTCGCGCGCCAACTTCACGTCCTTTCCTCTAGCGCTCCGCGCGGGTGCCGGAGGCCCGAAGGAACCCATAGGACAAAAAGTTAAGGCCTGGATCGCGGTTCGTCAGGAGATTGTCCGACGTCGTCGCCTTCGAAAGCTTGACGTACAAGTGGAACCAAAACCCGCCCATGTTGTTAGCATCTGGGTACCCGGCGTCGATGATGACACCCTCGTGCTTGGCCCAGCCCTGGCAGGCAGTCGAAGTCAGCACTTTAGAGCGGGAGATCTACACGCCTGTGCGCGAAGCGTTGCGCTTGCGGGAGAAAAGGGTGGGTTCGGTGTCTGCGGCCCGTTGAAGACGAGCCGCTCCATGTCCGAAACGTCGACCCATGTGCGTGCTGTGCCAGCCCGTCGTAGAAAGAGGCGGCCGTCTACTCGTCCATACGGACCCATACGCCGAGGGGCAGGTGGCGCAGGTACGCGGGGCGTTCCTCGGCCCTTGCGCGTTCCACTTCTTCCTCGTCGCGAGCGTGGCCACGTGCACGATCTCGCCCTCGGTCTCCTTGACCAACCCTCGCGTTAATTCGCATGCCCAAACTGTTGCGAGCGTGCTAAGAGTTGGCCAGGAGCCTCTCGGGAGCTTCTCAGGACCCTTTCGGGAGCTTCTCGGGTCCTTCCCAGGGCCCTCTGAGGAAATCCCAAGACACCCTGCAAACTTCTCAGGCCCCTCTCGAGAGCTTCACGCGACTCCCCCCAATAGCTTTTAAGAGCCTCCCATGACCCTGTCATGAGCCTCTCATACGGCAGCTATGGCGATGCTCTTACCAGCGGTGGAAAATCCCACCAGCCCTTTGGGCGTGAGTGGTTTCGCGAGCTGTCTCTGTTCTCAACCCCCTTCTTCCCCTTCGGGGAAGGGTTTACCCCTCCCCCTACCCCCTCCCCCTGGACCTGGAGAGGGGGTTTCGCGGGTGGTCAGAGGGTCCTTTTTCTATCCCTGGGAGGGCTAAAATTCGACACCCCTCACGAGGATCGTGGCCCCGAC